AGTCAGTCATGGGGACAGTGTTCGTCTCAAACTATGCCACAAAATAAAATAAAAATAATTATATAAATAACAACAATCTAAACACTTTAACTACCAGTGTTTATGGATAACACTAAAAAGCCACTAATACATCAACAACAATAATAATAACATTGTCTTCTACTAACCTTATTTAAAATGCGGTGTTGGTCAAAGCTCGGAGCTGGTTCCGGCGCTGCGACTGCTTTTGATGCTGATGCTGGCTTGTCGTCCGGCAGTTGTATTTTGGGCTCTTCGACACCTGTTGCAATGCTCGCGTACCTGAAACGAGTACGCGACCCAGCATGGTATGTTGTTGTTATGGCTGCGACTGCATTCTTAGCGAAAATGCTCACTCTCCACAACGAATTCATGGCAAAAACACTGGCACTACTCACTTGTTTATTTTTTAATTGCAGTTATTTTGCTGTTGTTTTTGTTTGCTTTTTGAAATAAGAAAATTTATTAATTTCTCACAATTCCTCGATGGCGGCACTTTTTTGGCATATCAATGATTTCACAATAAATAAAATGTAATTAATTGTAAACACTCGATAGTATAGCGTCCGAGAATGCACTTTATTAAAAACAACAATAGCAGCAATCAATTTGATAATGATAGCCACCAAATCGCAGGCATTCAAGTGTTTTTCGACTTTTCAGTTATGTTCGCTGCGCCACGTTTTGTTTCGGTGGTCGCTTCGTTTTTGTGCTCGTTGTCAGCAACCGGCGGTGTGGAGCACCAAATAAACACTGAGCGTACAAAATGTTCGTCAAAAGCGCGCAAAATCGCTGTCAATTTGTTAATAAACAAAAAGCCAATACTTTATTTATTTGTATGTATGTGTGATAGCTCACTAACAAGGTGTCGTGTCGTCGCTGCAGGTGCGAGTGTAGTAAATAAAAGCTTTTATTTATAAGCAAGCATATTCAAGTCACCGCTCGCGAGCTAATTTACTGTTAATACTTATTACTAATTGTAAGTTTGCTTAGATATAATATATTGTTTGTTTACATAAATCTTAGTGCTACTTATGCTACTCAGATGCCGATTGTTTACTAGTAACTAGATAAGTATTTGGCGTGTTTGCCTCTGTCTCATATTGTTTGTTACTCAGATGACATAATGCCCTCCCGCCATGCAGTGCTCATTTCCAAATGAAAACCATTGATTCTGTTGGAGAAAGTCATTAAGAAAGACAGCGCGAGAGGAATTGAAATGCACGCTTCAAAAATCAGTTGCGAAAATAGCTATATCCATATGTATATACGTGTATATAAATGCTTGCCTCACGCATGGCAGTATTCACAATTTATTTAATCAACAAACGGAAATGTATATAAGGTTATCGTTCCAGTGCATGTTTGGTGGAATGTCAGCCATTTCTCTCAACAAAGTAGCTTATGTGACTTGATGCTTTAGTAAAAGTTTTTTCGGTCCACTGTGACATTACCAAAGTGTGCTGCTATTCGTAATTGAATTGGTGCGTTGCCTAAAAGTATGCAACTATTTATATATTTTTGTGACTGGCTTGTTCGAATGAATGCCAAAACACACTAATAATTTATTAATAAAGGGAAAAATGAGAGATGAAAATATTATTGAATATATTAGTTTGTCAAAAAAGTCTTGCGGCATTTTTGCGGCATTTTCAATTGTTCATACAATTTTTTTCGATGACTCATCCCCAGCTCTTGACCGATGGCACGACTGCTACTATGCCGGTCTCTTTCGAACAATTCAGCGATTTGATCGCAATTTTCGACGACAGGCCTTAAAAGAAACTGCATAAAATGAGCTTTCCAAAAAGGTATAGCATGATCCGATGCGACGAATAAAACTAGAACTACGCGCTCTCAGCGCTAACTAGCGAAAATACCGCAAGACTTTTTTTGACAACCTAATACTAATTACTAATTTAATAAAATAGAAATAAAAAAGTTTGGTTGTGACTCTCACTTTGCTCCGAGAAACAGTCAAACATTGGTTGCGACTTCTGGGAACCTTAAATTAAAAAAATTAAGGTACAAAATGCTTCAATGAAGTGGTTAAGGTGACAAAAATATATAGAAATAAAATTGTAATTGTAACCTATATTTATAATTACATATATAACCATGCACGCCTAAGGTTAGGCTAAACCTTTTCTTTTCATGAACATTTGTGCATTTCTTGCTATATGTTGCTGCGGGCTTAGTAGACAATACAAATTTGCAAAGGCGCTTAATTTCAACTCCCGCCAGTCCGGTAGGACGTCTGAAGGTATGCGCTTCCGAATGTTTAAGTATCGACCACCCAAACGCGATACAATCAAGAAGGAAGTGTTGCGTTGTTTCTACCTCATCTTCTTCCAAACAACTTCTGCAAACATCGTCTAGTAAGATTCCCAACCTCAAAGCATGGACGCCAATAGGGCAATAGCCTGTTAAAATCACCACAGCTAGGGAGAGGTTAGTCTTACTAGCAGGGGATCGCTAGATCTAGCTATCAATCTTGGGACAAAAGCATTTTTTCTCTTCTATAAAGGAGGCCGCACTCCGGAGCAATAAATCTACTGTTTGATGGCTGCAAACTCAGCTTCGAAGAAACACTTGTGGGCTAAATATTAAAAAAAAAGTGGTCGCCCCCCTACCTTCTATTTGCTTTAATGTACATATCTCCTAAGCCATAAATTCTTTCAGCGATATTGTAAAAACTGATGAAATCGGAAGATAATGCCATCCACTTCCCATATAATGGTACTGTTAAAAACTACTAAAAGTGCGACAAATCAGTGACTGTATAGGCGAGAGATAGTATGTGAAAGCTTTATGGGAGCTGGAGTAAAATTTGAACGATGCGTGTGGAACAGCCTACTTTTTGGTGAAATCACATATCTCGGGACCCTTCCGATCGATTTCGACTAAGTTTATTCCGTGGCATTCTTCTCACACTCCTATGTCACAAAGCGAACTACAGACACTTCTCATATAGCAACATTTTAAATTCCACTTGATTCTTTCAATTTATAGTACACCAAGAAGCAATTGATATTACCCCGTTAACTTTGCACTAATAATTGTTTTAAAGTATGTCACCTTATGGCAAAAAATTATCCAAATCCAACCAAAACTGTTGAAGACAATGGGTACCGAATACAGACCCCTGTATCCATAGATGGCTTTTGACCGAAAATATCGGCCATGTATGGGGATGGAGTCATGAGAAGAAGTTCACGCAAGTGAGGAAAGTTCTCTGATCGCCATTCACTTGGGAGTGGCCGGAAACGATTCTTTTACATATGACTCAAGCAGCTCACGACTTCCGGTTTTAGACCAAGTATCCCCAGGGTACCCAAGAAACATCCGTTTGAAGGCGAGCTAAAGTGAGAGGGCTAATCGTCCATGCATAGGTTTGGGTGCTGGGTTTTGGACTCGCCACGTAATGAAACACATCCAATGAAAACTTACCAACTGCCCCGGACGAGAAAGCCCCTTCCGGTCCCTTAATTGGTTAGATGCCGCTGTCCAGCTGTTTGATGTTCTCGTGCAAATAAAGGCTGACATCAACACCGTCCAGGAAATGCGATGGACGTGGCAAGGACTGAGGCGAGTAGATCTTTGTGGCATTTACTATAGTGGGCATATAAAGAAGCGCGAGTTTAGTGTGGTGGGAGACTCCGTCGCCGAGTACTATCATTCACGCCGGTGAATGAACGTCTAGCCACAATCCGTATCAAAGCGAGGTTCTTCAACATATCGCTGATTTGCGCCCACGCCCCGACGGAAGAGAAGGACGATGTGACCAAAGATGCCTTCTATGAGCGCTTGGAGCGCACCTAAAAGAACTGCCCCCGCCACAATGTTAAAATCGTGCTTGGGGACTTTAACTACAGGGTGGGCAAAGATGGTACATATATTTGGCGCAACAGTCGTTAAATTCAGCCTACACGAGGAAACATCCCCAAATGGGTTGATGCTGATCGACTTCGCCGGGCCCGAAACATGGTTATCTGTAGTACCAGGTTCCAGCATAAGAAAAGCTACCTGGATGTCTCCGGATCGAAACACTACCAACCAGATCAGACGCATTTGCGGACAGGAAAGGAGAGAGGCCGAAATGTGTGTGTATGAAGAGCTTGACAAGCTGGCCGACAACTGTGAAGCTGGAAAGTTCTACGAAAAAATGCGGAGACTAAAAGAAGGTTTCAAGACCGGAGCATATTCTTGAAGAACCCAAGGAGGTGGTCTAGTAACCGATGGCCAGAGCATATTAAAATTATTAGTAGGAAACACATTTCTTCATCCTGCTGAATGGCAGTGAAAGTATAACGTCATATATAAGGCGAACCCGATTCTCCAATTGATGACGATGGAACAGGCGTTCGCCGATTTCAAAGCTGCCTTTATGCCGCGATGTCGAACTCTTTAATGTACCCTCGCAGGTGCAAAGTTTGCGAATATACATATACGTAATTATCTTCCAAAGCATTTTCGCGGCACTCTACCAATACTGAGTTGCCTGCTCTCCGTGACGTGTCATACGATCTGCTCTGCAGCAGTCAAACGGAAGTTTGCGCCTGTGCATTTTCTCACAATATATTTTGAATTTCGCTGGGTCGGAGCCGACAACCGGACGGGCATGTTCACAGTTTAAATCTCGTATATGTATGTATATATGCAAGTGTTAAAACAATAACATTGGCAATTTGTTTAGGCAAAATTTCGCAGAAATTCACCACACCTCCCTTGGGATCAACGATCAGGCATACCTATATATGTATGTATGTATATAAATTTATGTCTGTATACAAAATTCTGAAATGCAAACATACATATGTATATATACATATAAACTTGTACGATCATATGTAAGTCTCTATATAATCGGATATGTAGGTATACTATACATTTTTCTATGCATACATACACACCACACGCGTATCACCCACAACAGAGTCCGGCAAGGGCACACATTGCGCTTATCCCCATTTCTATGCGATATACATACATAAATACAAATGCTGTGTGATATATGCCCGACAGTTTGAAAGCGCTGTTCGAAGAGTACACTCGTCAATTTGTTGCATCGACGAAAAGCGGACGCGGCGTTTTTATGCGATTTTGTTTCATTCAAGTTGTGACGCTGACGATAAATAGTTAAAATATAAAAATGTATTTTGGACGAAGGAATACAAAGAGCTTGGTCATCGCCAGCGCTGTACTATTGGTGTTGTATGTTTTGTGCGCGAATCGCCCGAGGAAATTCGAAATTGATACGATGATCTATAATGTTAAACCGGTGGAGGTGTGGGAATATATGTCAGATTTTAGCAAAATACGCACGTTGAACCCGTCAGTGTAAGTGCAAAGAGCAAACAAATTACTGTTTACATATTTCTACATTACATACATACATACTTATTTCGATCAGTAAGATGCCACTATATACATAGATGAGCTAAGAGTGCTTTCTCGGAAATATTACGCATAGAAACAATTTTTGTTGTCTAAACAAAAACACATTCCACAGATATCCAGAGTGATATAGTTTATAAAATATATTTGGATAAATACATATGTATGTACATATTAACATATGTATATGTGCACTGATAAATCAAAATAACAAATGTTAACCAAATGTTGAGACCGGCATAAATTTGCAATTGCAATTACGGCAAAATTCAAAAATAAAGAATTTCGTAGCTTTCGAACTCTATACAGTTCGAATAAAAATTTTAACATATCTGCAAAGTTCTTTTACAGTAAAAATATAAACAAGAAAATTTTAAATTAAATTATTCGAACTCGAAAAATAAAATTCATACTATTGATTTCTTAAGGTTTTATTTTTCGAAATTATAATTTTACCCAAAACTTCTATGAAGATATATTTTTTAAATTAATAACAAACATATGAAATGAAATGCTCGATTTATGTTAAAATTTAGCAGCTTGGCAGAATTTTATAGAAATAGCGTACTTCAAAATTTTCCAATATTGCGAAATGTTACTTAAATTTCAATAAATTTGACGGAATTTCGCAGAAAGTGCCTTTTTTTCAAAATAATAACTCAACAGAAAAGTAATATTGAAGACAATTCGTTTTTAAAATATTCGAGAAAATCATTTTAAATTTAACAATTCGTACAAAACTCCGCTGAAAATGTATACTGTATATACTAAAACACAACAATAGAACGTAAATAAATTGTGGTTTTTGATTTCATAATGTTCGAATTTTTCCAAATTAATATTCTGCTGTAACAAATTTGGAGTTTTCTTGAAATTGCTTGTATAACGAGATAAAACGAAAAAAAAAATGAAGGTAGCTTTTGTTTCCATAATGACAGAAGTCTACCGAAAAAGCATACATATGTATGTCAAAATGTTCGAATATTGCGAAGAGTTAATTCAATATCAATAAATTTGACAGAATTTCGCAGAAAGAATTTTTTTAAATTATAACTAAATAACAAAATAATATTGTTGAAGAGTTTTGTTTTCAAAATGTTTGAATTTTTCGAAACTTATTTAAATTTAAGCAATTCGTGTAAAAATCTGCTGAATATATTTACTTTATGTACAAACTTAGAGCAGAAAATAAATTTAATTAAATTATATTCGAATTTTTCGAAATTACCTTGAAATTGCATGTTTAAAGAGATAAACTCAAAATCCAAAACTAGGAAGGTAAACTTGTTTCCGTAATGTTGAATTTTTTCTAAATATACATCTATTAAATTCGGTGACCGGCAAAAATTTCCTGAAAATGCACGCTTAAGGTAAATAATAAAAGGTCAAATGAATTTGGAAGGTACTTTTTGATTTAATAATGTTCGATTTTTTTGGAATTGAAGTAAAATTTTAGCATTTGCGATAGAACTTTGCTCCAAATAAATGCTACATATAAAGATAGTTTTTTATTGTCGAATTTTTCGGAATTCACCTAAAATTTTTGCATTTGCGACAAAACTTCCCTCACAACGCATTCATAAAATATAATAATTCAAACCCGAACAAATATTGAAGGCGGTTTAGATTTCACAATGCTCGAATTTTTCGAAGTTTACCTTAAATTTAATAATTTTGACAAAACTTTCTACAGAACACATGCATAAAATATAATAATTCAAACCCAAACAAATATAATAGGTTGTTTTGGATTTCTCAATGTTCGTATTTTGCGAAATCCATAAAATTTCGACACAACTCCTGAGAATAAATACTTTATATAAAGATAGTTTTTTATTTTACTATGTTCGAATTTTTCGAAATTATCCTTAATATTTAGCAATTTCGACAAAACCTCCCTCAGAACGACAAACAAATATTAAGGAAGTTTTGGATTTCCCAATGTTCGAATTTTTCGAAATTCACTTAAAATTCAAAGCATTTTCGACTAAACTTATCTCAGGAGGCATGCATAAAATATGATACTCAAACGAGTATTAAAGGTGGTTGTGGATTTCGCAATCTCCGAATTTTTCGAAATCCATATAAAATTATAGCAATTTCGACAAAACTCCGCTGAAAATTGATCCCTAAAGTAAAGAACTCAGCATCAATGAAATATTGAAAGCAATGGTTGATTATTAAATTATCGAATTATTCTAAGATCGATTTTACCTTTCCTTGTGCTGTGCGATACAAACAATTTTTGACTTGTTTTCAAAATTTACAATGAGAATTTGAAATCTAGTGATTTGTCATACAAATGCATTGAGCATATGTTTTTTCAAGCGGGATATCGAAATTCGTAGAAGAACTAAGTGTTACAAGTATGAAAATGTATTTAATATTTGTGTTGTTGTAGCATTAGACAAAGATCTACAAAAATTTTTAGAGAATGCTGAAGCTTAGATAATCTTGGTTGGATAAAAATTTGAGTCCGTTCCGATTACGTAGACCCGACTGGAAACATAGTATATTTACTGTCTTCGACTGAACTTTTAACAGGAAAAGCATGGATTTATATCCGGTATAAAAAGTATTCCTCAAAGCTGTTTGGTATTATAACACCAACAATAGCAAAAGTGGTGATTTTTTTGTTCCTTCTAACATTCAGCTTAAATGAAGTCGTATATACATATGTATAGTATGTAAGTTCATTTGATAAAGTTATTGGTACATATATATGTAAATCTACATACGTATCAACATGGAATTGTATGTACATATGTATAATTAGTATCATTATACTATTTATACGCAGAGAGACGATCGCAACTTAATTCAAATTCATCATTTACATTTTTGCTATTACATTCACTGATATATTGGAACTTATTAATGTATATGATATTTATATGTATTTGTATATGAATAGCATTACTTTTGATAAGCATTCATGTAAGCATTTTTGTATCTAAAATAATGTTATAATATTTTCTAAAGAAATAGTATATTTTCTTCTATTTTAGTTTAAGCTTCAATATTATCGGCGATAGTGGACACGCTCATGACTGGCGTTATACCGTTGAATACTGGGAGCGTACATCGCATTGGCCGCATTTTTTTAGTAAAGCGACAGCAGATTATATTGTTAAGAAGACTATGCCGGGAGAGAAAGACCCAACATATACGATTGAGTCAAGGCATACAACATGCTTCTTCAAAGGCATCTATTGTAGTATGTTCGAAGAAATATTAATTCAGTTCAATATCAGTTTCATTCTTTCCAGTTTTATTTTAAAATTTCAAGACAAAAACGTTTCATTTAAATGAAATGAATCAAATCTTCAATTTTATTAATTTGGCAGAATTTTAGCGAAAATATATGTATATTTCAAAACATTCGAACATTCCCAATTCCAGTAAATTTGAACCTAGTTGAAAACGCATTTTTCAAAACAATAACCAAACAACAAAGTAATATTGAAGTTGGAAAATTCTCCGTAAATTTTAGCAATTTCGAGAAAACTTCTCTCAGAACGCTTGTTTAAAGTAGATAATTCAAGTCCAATCAAATTTTGAAGGTTGTTTTTGATTACACAATGTTCGAATTTTTCGAAATTCAAATTAATTTTTAGCAATTTCTGCAAAATTCCATGAAGAATGTATGCTCAAAATAATAAACTTCGAATTATAAAATTCGAAGACAATTTTTTAAATTTTTCGAAATTTGTATTACATTGTAATAATTTCGTAATTATTATCCTAAAATTGCATGTTTAAAAATAGCAACGGAAAATAATAAAGAAATTAAGGTAGTTGGTATTCGACATTTCGAAATTTATATTAATATTATATTAGCGATTTCGACGAAACTTTGTTCAAAATGCATGCCTAAAGTAATATTGAAAGTAGTTTTTAAATTTAGTAATTTCGACAAAACTCCTCTGAAAATACATGCTTAAAGTAAGCAACTTCGAGTAACAAAATTTCGAATTTGTCGTAATTTCTGTTCCTTTGTAACAATTTTGTCGGATTTTATTTGAGCTGGCATATCTAAAAATAACAACTCAATATGCAAAAAAAATTATTAAGTTATTTAATAGTGTTCGAATTTTTCGAATTTCACTTTAGTACGAAATTTCACGTTTACAAAAAGCAACTCAGAACCCACAAAACGAAGGTTAATAAATAATGTTCGAATTTTTCGAAATTCATATAACATATATCGAATTCGACAAAAATACGCTTAAAATGCATATCTAAAATAATATTGAAAGTAGTTTTGATTTTATAATGGTCGAATTTGGCAATATTTGTATTCCTTTGCAACAATTTAATATTAAGAGAAAATATATTAAACTACATTTCAAAAGCTACCAAAGTCGCTACATACAACCGATTAAAAATTAATTTACACATTACACGTTACACATTTTTAACTAAGCATATCTATACTAATATTAATCGTTTAGACTACTTACGTATTTTTTCTCTCACAGTGATCTCCACAAGCGAATTTAAGTGTCGTGCTAAGGGCCGTGACACCTACTGCGAGGAAGACATAGTATATCAGTGCCCGCCATTCTTGGGCACCATCTGCCGACGTGAGTTGGAAAATCAGCGCAAAACAGTTATGGAAAATTTAACTGCGATCTTTAGTAATTCAGGATAATATTTATACCAACGCATTTCAATTCATTTATGTACTTCATTTATTTCAATCACTTTAATATTTCTTCTTTTTTTTTTGGCTAAATGTTTTAGTTTTTAACATTGAATTTAATTTACACTGACGTGTGTAAATATATATGTATGTGTTTGTATAATATTATTTAACACTAAAACAAAACTAATGTAAACGTATTTAGTTTTTTTTTGTTTTGTATATGTAAATATGTATGTAAAATTTCCAATTGCTTTCATATGTAATAGAATACGAGGGATACATTCATTGGCGTTCAATGGCCATTGCGATAAAGTTGTACTCAGCAGTTTTATGTATGGGGTACAGGCATTTCGCAAAGCTTACACTAAAAATGTCTATAGTTTGAACTAATTCTTTTGTTGTTTTTTGTGTGTACGTACAATATTTAATTAGTTTACTAAATATGTAAGTAATTTAAAAAATAGCTGTATATGTGTATTTGTGTTAAAATTGAATACAGATAGATTAAAACTGTCTAAAATATACTGTCTATAATTCTATAATTAAATACATGCATTTTTAATTTAATTAATGTGCATACATACATATGTACATGCATATTGTCGCGTCTAACGTCCTCATCATCATTATCAACGTGATCAATTTCATTCAATTCCTGAAGGATAACTCAAGGCAACGCCGCTTAAGACGCTTAGCCATTGTGTTTCTGCTGTGCGTACGCAAATTGGGGTCATTCTGTGTTGCATTCGCTTGGAGATCATTGAGCGTGCCGTTTTTCTGAAACCACTTGGTCAGCTTGGTTGATTGTGTTGATTTATTTTTCGGCGATCGGCGCGCCACTGTGCCAGACAGTGGCGTTTGTGTGCGCTTGCTCGGCGTACGCTCATCCATGGTGGCTTCCGTTGGTGTTAGTTGCGTTGTACCGATCAGATAGTTCGTGATTTTATTGTGTTGTGTTGGCTGTAGGCCGCGTGTAGTCGTTTGTACCGGCGATATTTCACCATTTGAGTTGATGCGCATCACACTGCCGAAGGCATCATTATTCGTTATTTCGAATATTTCTTCGTCCACCAGAGCGCCGCTAATCACCTGATTTGTAGCAGTGCCATTATTTTGGGTTTGTTTATTTTTCTCGTGTTGTTGCTGCTGTGTGGCGGAGACTGCATTTGGCAGTGTTGGCATTACCGGTTGGCTACCCCTGGTCGCTCGTTTCACCAATTTACTGTCTGGCGCTTTCTTTGTTGATTTCTGTGTGTTTGTTGTTTTTGTTTTAGGTTGCGTTTGTGTTTGAGCAGTCGGCGCAGCATCTGTGGCCTGCGTAGCGGGCGTATCAAACATTTTCTCGAGTATATTTAAACATGAGCGTCCACGGCTTAGCACTTGCTTTGATTTCTTGCCACCTACAGTTTGCGCGTTTTGTTGTTGCATTTGTTTCACTTCCGAACCGAATATTTTGAAGCCTTGAAAAGCTTCAACGCCATCGTGCCGATCGCTTGCCGTTTTCTGTGTGCAAGTTAGGCCAAGTTCGGTGCTCGCACTGAACAAGTCCGGTGACTTGCGTTGCATTCGCTGTTTGGCTAATAGTTCGCCGAAAGTGGGCGTTGTGAGCAATGGACTGGTATTGGCAATGTCCGTTGCTGTACGCTTGAGCGCCGTTTTCTGTTTCAGCGCACGTGTTCGCCGGCTCTGTGCAGAGTGCTGAGACGAAACTGAGCCTTCATCCGTTGAACTGGAGAGGACAACAATCGATTGATTTTTATGCGGCGCGTCTGTGCATGGCACAAATACTACTTCGGAATCGTTTATGCCAATAGGTGTGGGTAAAAAGTTTTTTGGTTCAGAATTACGTATGTTGCGCACCGGTGTTGGTGGTCGCAAAAATCCGTCATCTGTTTGCGTATCGGCAATTATTTTTTGTCCACATTGCATGTCTTCTGTGTTGCCGGAGCATGGCAGTATGGCCGAATCGGTAGTATCAATAACTTTATTATTTGTTTGCCTTTTCTTACCTTTACTTTGCGCGGTTTTCGCACTTGCATTACTGTTATCCTCAGTTGCTATTTTTTCCTTCTCGTTTTTCTTTCGTTTTCTTGTTGTTTCTGCCTCAACCGATGAGCTTTCATCTTCTTGCTGAGCCTTAGTTCCAGCCTTGGCACAATCGTTTAGTCTAGCTCGTTTTCTTTTCGGTTTTCTACTATCATCTAGTATCAGTGGCGTTTTCATGTATTTACTTTTTCCGGCGTCCGTGGACCGCGTTTGGCGTTGCATACTTCTGGTATTTCGCGCGGTTGGTGTAGCTGGCACATCTACGCGTGTGTTATTTTTTGATTTCGGTTTGACGGTTTGTTTTACGACATCATCTTTTGATGAATTTTTTGCAGATTTATTTTCATTGACCTTATCACTTTCCGGTGCCTTTTTTTTAGTATTTCTAGACTCTACTGTAGCTGGAGTAACCTTTTCAGTTGTCTCAACCTTTGTGTCTTTTCGAACATCAGTTTTGTCGCCTCTTGTCTGTCTTAAACGTCTAGGGGTCTCTATTGATTCACTCACATTCTGCTTGGATTTTACTGCTCTTTCCTTCGATACAGTGCATTTTTCAGTGAGTGTTTGGTCTTTTCCTCTTACTGGCTTATCAGTATGCTGCTTAGCTTCATTAAATTTGTTAGGGCTAGTATGCTCAACCGCTTTATCAGTTGTATTTAGTGTTTCCTCATTTTTAAGTGATTTAACCAAATTCTTTTGCTTCGCTGGAGTGGCAAGTTTAGTTTTATCAGTAGATATTATTTTATTTGCGGTTTGTTTTACATATTTTTCCGGTTGTTTCACAGTTCTGCGTTTAGTTGTGGTAATTGTATTATCTTTATTATTAACTTTAACTTGTGACGTTTGACTTTCCGCAACAACATTTTGCTGAGGCTTGATTACGTTTTTATTTCTCATTTGACGTTTTGCAACTGTTGCATTTTTATTGCTATCATTCACCTTGACGGCATTCTTTTCCACGCGGGTGTTCAAACCTTCATTTTGATTGTCATTTTTATCTGCTTGCTTTCCATTTGTCATTTTTTCCAAAACCTTTTTGGAAGCTTGTAATTTTGTCTTTTTTCGGTTGGGTTGGCCTTTAGTCAATTCTTTGCTATTATCGATTTCTTCTGTGTCTTTTATTACAATTGTCTTAATGTGGTTGCTTTTTAGCACAGGCGATCGTGAATTCGATCGCGTTTCAGTCGTTTGTTTTGCAGTGTTGGGTTTAGCTCTGCTAACACTACTCACATATTCCTCCGAACATTTCTCAGTTGATAAGTCAACAAATTCATAAATATCGGGAGCTGGTGATTTATTTTTAGGAGGCAAACCGATTTCTTGATTCGTTATGTCGACAACTTCTTCGGTGTCATCACTATTGCATGAGTCAGAGTCGATTAAAAGCGGTGACATACTAAGCGCATCGTCCGAAGCCTCATTATTTGCCATTACCAACGCTTCAGCCTTTTGTCCATCTATAATGTGCGTTATTTCCCGATCTAGCGCTAATGCTTGATTGAACAGTTCTTCAGTCGGCGTTTCAGAATTCGCATTTAAGTTGTTAACATTATCATTCGATTTTTGTGAGTTATTTGAACGCCAAAGATCTAAATTAATTTTATATCGTTCTGCATCCACAAGCGGCAGCTCGTCCTCAAACTGATGTCGATAACGCCGCAACCGAAAATCTCTATGGGTGTTAATACAAAAATTTATTAATTGTCAATTTCACTTTGCATGCACAGTTTTTTACAATCAAATTAGAAAAAATAATAACTTCGATTGTCGCGAAGTTAGTAGAACACCATTGACAATAAAAAAAAGCCTCCATACAAAAACTTAATTTTGATCAGAATCAGCCCCGACATGCCAAATATATGTCCTGCATGCAATTAGTCCCCGCAAAACTCTAACCACCTCTCCTTGCATGCAAAGCTAACCCTCTACATATGACATTGGCGATTCCGATAAATGAGCAGCTTCTTGGGGATAAAAAAGTTTTATACAAACTTTCAGAGCTATATACCAAAAACTAAGGGAGTAGCTAACATATATACAGACAAACGGACATATCTAAATCAACTCTGATAAATTTTTATAGGATCTGCAACGTTACCTTTGGGTGTTGAGAACTTCATGACAGACTAAATATACTCCGTCAGAGTATAATAAGAGGATAATAAGTTTGTATATTAAAATTATTTACTATATTCTCTTACTTGCAAAAATCACTTATCATTTCACGTTTTAAGAAATATTGTTCCAAATCTGCAATTTTATTAAGTACATCCTTCGAGTCGGGCAATTTGTATTTCGACTCAAAAACTTTAAACTGTTCATACTGATGTTCCAAACGCCCACCCAGACGCAGCGAGTTATGTAACAATTTTAAATCAGACTGAAATTAAATAATTAAACATAATTAGTACTCAATAATTATATTTGGTGCACAATAATTTATGATACCTACCGTCACATCGTTACTAGATATTATTAAGTTGACTTTATTTTCATAGTTACTCAAGAGCATAGACATGCAGAAATTATTACTCATCATTAGGCCTCGATTATCGATAATAATATAATCATAATTATATTTGTTTCCATCAATTGTTGATCGCAGAGTAGCCCATTTCGCTATGATTATATTTGGCGGTGATTCCAAGATGCCTGTATGGAGAGAGCAGATAAATACAAATATATTATATCAGATTAATACTGTGGATTGCTCTGCGATCTGTTGTCTGTTGTGAGTACATAATTTGTAACACATAGAAGGAAACGTCGGATACCAAATGGAATCTTTGAGGGAAATTTTCATAAAATTTGGCACAGGATATTGTTTAACACAACGGTGCGAAGAAATCGGATTACTACAGTGTAACCATAGCCGTGCCCACGACAGGCGGGATCGGAACGGACCCGGATTTTTATTTGCCCAAAGACGGTCAACTTGGTATCATGTCTCGAAACTATTTCAAAATCAATTCTTGTATTGAAAGATTTGAATTTTTGGAGGATATTATAGTTTCATTAAATAGTTGACCATTTTTCTTGTTGATTTTATTAAAATCCTAAACTTTTCATTTAATTTTAATGGTTTTTAACTATCAATGTACATTAACGAAGTAATGAAGCAATGATATCGTTGATATAATATTCATATTGCATGCCCTTCAAACACTACTCATCTAACACCCTCCTCCCTTTGGTCCGACCCCGTCGAAACAGCACGTTTCCTGGTCCGTCCGTTAGATAACCTCAACGACAACGCAAATGACCCTTACCATCCCAACGGGGATTAGATAACCGTTAAAACAACAATAGTATTCGCTAATTTATTCCGTTCACAAGACAGTCGGACCAGAGTCGGATGTACATATATCCGGCCATAGACGGTTACAAATGCAGAAAACTATTAAGATACTTTACTTATAATGTTTTAAAAGATTGGATCCAAAATATGCGTTGGTATATATTGAAATAAACTAAAATTTGTATAATATTTGTAACATTACATGCTTATCAATTTTAATCCTGCCTTTACATGTGCTTCTATTATTTTGATTTCAACTGTATTTGTATACACATTATTTTAACTCTGATTTTACAGAATATATAGAAATTAGAAATATTAGAGGCTAATAGAAGTGCATGTGGATATAAATATGTATTAGTAACTGATAAGAGCGCATGCTTACATATATACATATATGCTTACATATTAGCACGATGCAACTAGAATAACGAGGTCAATGCTAAGCGGGAGGTATGCGGTCATTTTGATTTACATACTTTCCAGTAATTATTTATAAATGTAAATGAAAAGATTTTTAGAAGAATAAGCTTACTCGTATTCGAACCCAAAACTCCAACTGTTAGATTTGTAAGTACATCGAAGTGAAATTGCCAACTAGCAACAAGTTCATCATCGTTTTGAACAACAATAATACATGTTTTATTTTTGGCTATTACACCTAAATACACAGCAGTTGACACACATTTGCCCAAGCCACTCTCATCGTTCAATATACAAAAGTCTCGATTAGCTAAATGTCTATGTAAAAAACGAAGTGTCTCTAATTGGAAGTCCTTAAGATATTGTCGTACGTGGCCTGGTATTTGAACCTTTTCCGATAACTCCAATGGCTCAGGTGCACATGTGGCCATAAAATGATACATTTCTATACTACAAACCCCCGCCGCGATTCACTTGTCTTACTCTGTTGTTGCGTATGCCCCCTATATATGGATATTAGTCGCCGATTGTGTTGATGTAATGCAATGATATGTATAGAGCAACCAATACGTAAAATAGTTTGATGTAAAAGAATATCACAAACATAGAGAATGGTCCAATAACTAGCGTATTTGGCGTATCGAAATATTCCTGAGTTACTCTTGCACTTGTAAAATATTGCATGTGTATAATTTTTACTATTTAATATCTGAAAGAACACTAAAACTCTTGATTATGTTCTAGCTAAAGCTATTTGCTTTATTGGGTCGGCGTGACAGGGTCACTGAACTTTAAGGTCGTCATGGAAATATAAAATGTTCTAATAATTTATAACAATATTTTGATATTTTTCGTATTTTTAATCTGCACTTTATTTGGACACACACAATTTTTCGAGCACGGTTTTGTTTTGGAAAACGAAAAAGCACGCAAAGCACCAAAATATGATGAGAAAAGCAACTCGATGGCGGGGCTATTGAATTGTCACTCTGACAGCTAAATTCACTTATTAAAAAATCGCGCCAAATTAGTGTGGCCATACTTCCTCAAGAAATCAATAGCATGAATGCAGTAGATGGTAGAAATAAATATTTCGCAGCTGTAGTTTGTTTATATCAACGATGGCGGAGCTACGTACAGACAAGATTTTAATGAAAATATACAAGGAGCGGAAAACATTTGTAAATTTTTTTGATAGTATTATTGGTTTCCTGATTCGCAAGTAAGTTTTCTTGAGTATTACAAATTGTCATAATCTTTATTCAAAATTAAATTCGTTTATTAGTACTAGTTTTGGCTTAATACCAATTACGGACAGGACACGCTTACAAGAATATATATTCAAAACATTCTCGGCTTATGATTCTGTAATAGAAACAAATCCGAGGGTAGAAAATGTCGCTGCAGAGAGCTTAACGGTGGTGAGAGACGAAAGGAAGGAAGATGTTGTCCCAAAAACAAATTTCAAAAACGGTATCGTTTCCGACAATTTATATCGTAAAGGAAATAATACTTTCAATAATTCGAAAGAATCCAATAGCACACAATTTAATATTTCCAAGCCTGAAGAGCAATGTTCCGAACAATATATCAAGAAGTTTCGCACAATTCTTCCAAAAATGCAGAAAGAAGTTGAAGGTAACACTTTGGCAAGTAGTCAAATACTTAATTCTGCAAAAGTAAAACGCCATTCCAAGCGTGTGTATAATTGCGGAGAATGCTCGGACAAATTTACTGCGTTTCGTCAGCTAAAGGTGCACGAAAATCTCCATATAAACCAAACTGATTTAGGTATAAGCATATGTGAATACTGTTGTAGCTTATATGCTAATGCAGAGACTTTGGAGAAGCATATTAATGAATGTCATATGGATGGCCGATATGTTTGTGTACCATGTGCAAAATTATACAAAAGTCGTGGGCTATTGCTAAAACACGTACTTTCCAATGTGCACACTGCCAGTGCATTATTATACTACTGTAGCCTATGTCCCCGTTCCGAAAAAGTGCATACAGAATTTGTCTCACAAGCTTCCTTACAACAACACTATCAAGAGACACATTTGCTCATGCCAGTGAATCAGGATGAAGATGATGTTGAAATTGAAATGAATGAGGAATTTCTTGATGAATTTCTCTTGAGCAATGTTAATGAGAATTCATTTAATTTTTCGGAATGTTGGGATGCTTTAGACTTTAATTTGCCAGATATGTTACATTTAACGAATACGGATGCAAAGTGCACTGATACTAAGGATAGTGCAGTTTTAAATTCTCAATTGTGTTTTAAATGTCCAAAATGTTTTGAAGGCTTCTTAAATCAGAAAACTCTATTACAACATATTGCCCACAAACATGAACTGCCGGTATTAATATGCAGTAAATGCGACGCTAGCTTCACGCATTATACCCAATTGATACATCATAAGAGTATACATCATGTTCAAAGTGGTATTGAACGAAGCGCGACGGGAAATCTGCTGAAATGTGAAATATGTGATAAAATATTTCGTAGCAACTCAGCATTAAACTACCACGTGAAAACTCATTTACGCATATTTTTAGATGCTCCACACGAATGTCCATATTGTAGAAAAACTTTTAACACTGATACTAATTTGAAACAACATATACGTGTAGTACATTCGCAAATAAAACGACACACCTGTGAACTCTGTGATAAGCCATTTGCGACACTCGATCATTTGAAGAAACATGTGCTGAGTCAACATCAAAACGAACGTAAGCATATTTGTCACATCTGTGCGAAATCCTTTACACAACTGTGTCATCTGAAACAGCATCTGGCCATCCACACCACTGGAAAGACGCATCAATGTATAAAGTGCGAAGAGAAGTTTTGGCGGAAGATCGACGTGCAGCGCCACATGCTAAAAAAGCACACATAACTAAAATAATATCTTGCAAGATAAACTTTAATTTTTTTTATTTGCTAAAACATTGCTAAAGATCCCACCAATATATGATTGAATTGTAATATATATATGTACATATGTGTATAAAATAAAAATTATTGTTTTTTCATTTTTTGGGTTCTTCCAGATGACGTTTCAGCACTGCACAGAAGCGTGTGACACCGTCAACTAATTTATCCTTTTTGTGAAATGAAATAGATAAACGCAAACAATTATTTGACACCATAGGGTCGTAAGCAAAACGAGAACCGATAATGAAAAATATTTTCTCATCTTGCAAACAAGTTTGTAAAAGTTGCCCAGCATCTGTATTCGTTGGTAGAGAAATCCAAACGAAATATCCACCCAACGGTTTAATCCATTTGCAACTGACAGGCAAATTTTTTTCAAGTATTTCACAAGCTGCCAACATGCGTTCTTTATAAGCACGCTTCACAATGGCAATGTGTTCTTGTGCCAATTTTAGTTCAAAAAGACTGGCTAATATACCCGATGTATAATTATTAAAGCAGCCTCCACTATACAAAATACCACTGCAATAATAGAATTCAATCATATTTGAGAAATGAATTTTCAAAAGTTTCTTTTACTCACGAATTTTCTAAAATTGGTTTTAATCGGGCAGGTACCTCCAACCAACCTACTCGAACGCCTGGTCCAATTAACTTTGCGAAACTTCCATTTGAAATTATATTTCCGGGGCCATTATCGTAGGCAAACAAGCGTTTCGTTGGCTTCGAACTTGTGTAATTTAGAATATTATAACAGTCGTCACATAGTATTAAGAAGTCATATTGCCTAGCTAAATTCGCAAGCTCTTGGCAAACAACTATTTTTTTATTTGGAACGAGAAATCGAAAGTGTTAAATTTACCTTTCAAATAGCATTCTATATTTCGACTAATACCTTCAGAAAAAAGTATACCAGTTGGATTATGATAAGTTGGAATAGTATAGTACATTGCCCAGAAAGTTTTAGATTTTGATTGAAACCGTTTTTCCCGTACTATTTTTTCAAGTTCCTTCACATCAACTCCATCGTCATTAAGTTTTACTGAAATAAAAAATTATACAGCAATTATTAAATTGGTATTATAGCACAAAACAATAAAAAAAAAACGTTAAGTTTGGGTGTACCAAAACTATAATAACCTTCGGATGTTAAAATTTTCTAGCAAGAACTTGTGGTCCGATGTGATTTTTTTTTTTAAGATTGTGTTATTGGCTTAGAGTATAGTACATGTCAAATTTTGTGAAGATAACTTGTTAAATAAAGTTTTCCAAATAAGAATTTAATTTTGTCCGATCAGTTCGTATGACATACATATATGTATATGCTAGTAGTTCGATTTCGGCGATTCCGACTTAGCTTCTGGGGAGAAAAGGATCTGTGGAAAATTGCTGATTCATATCTCAAAAGCTGAGAAACTGGCTGTCGTATATACCAACAGACGGATAGACAGAAGGGCCTCGATAATCCAAACAGGATTTAGGTAATCGTTACATGGACGTGGTTAGATCGACGCAGCTCGTCAGGCTGATGATTTATATATATTAAATTTCTTTCTGGTTGTTAAAAAATTCTTGGCAAACTTAATATATCCTGTTCAGGGTATAAAAAGGAATGAATGAAATAAGGACTTAATTATATAAAAAACGTAAATATATGTACATATATAGAGATAGTTTTACATACACGGTACGATGGTGAGAGTTGTAAAATGTTTCATAGTATCCAATGCAATCATATAAGTAACTTCGTCAACAAAAATTACCCCATTTAAATCAAGCAGAGTTGATAAGACAAAATGTAGTCCTTGTGATGCACCAGTTGTTATAATAAGATCCTCACTTTGTAGTAATTGGGTTAAAAAATAGTATATCTTGAGATATTCGAATACACACATACATATTTACCTTTTTACGGGATCATCAACATATAGAGAACTGAAGTATTCTGCGATAGCATTTCGTATTTCTACTGAACCACTAGTGGGCCCGTATTGGAAAAGATAAGATAAATTGCTTTGTTTTTCATATTTCTAAATAGCGAAATAATTAGTTGTTATTAAATATTACTTTTAATATAACAGTTAACTTACTAGTCTATGCTTTGTAGCTGCTTCAAAAATATCACAGCAGTTCTGCAATAAATCTGGACCTGGAGCACCCACGCCCAAATTAAGGACGTTGTCGTCATAAACATTCCAGTCACTACCATCAAATAAATGTTTTAGCTTGCGATCGACATTGACAAGCGCCATTTCACCTCAAATCACATCAAATGAGGAGAATTACTGGCTGTTACTACTTCTGGTGTTTGTGTTTTGATAAAACTCATATAATGAGATAGGATGATTATACATGGATTGATATTTACATAAGTACCCTACTCTAAGTACTACTTAATTACGTCATTTATAACTTGTCATAACGCCACATAAAATTATAAATTTTTACACATGTTTAAAAAATTAGTGTTCCATTCATACAAAAATAAGCTTACGTACTTACAATCTTGAACGCTATGTTTCCTGTTCGTTATAACTTTAAGAGACTATATGAAACCTTTAAATGGTAGACATTCTATATACATTATGTAAGTATATATACTTCTATCCTCATTCTTGGTTTTTACATTTTCGTATGTGTGTATGTTTGGCTCCTAATATTAGAATTAAAACACAAAGTACGTCCAGCCATTGCTAATTATCAGTTTGGACTAAAAGACATCTAAATGAGCTTTATGGTAATATTCATTAGAGTACATCCTCTGTCGTTAATAGATGTTATTATAATGCATATTATAAATGCATGTATGTACATATATACTTATCGTTTAAGAATCGTACTTTATCGCGCATAGTGGATTAGTTGCTTGGTGATACGAATGTTTCCCAAGCCCAGTGACAAAATATTTTTCTGACTTTATAATTCGACTTTTAACGTTTAGTCTTAACCGAAGTTGAGGTGTGCACAAAAATCTGGAGCTCATACTATATAATTAACAAACTTAAACCTTTCGATTTAGACATAGCTCTTGCCATCATGCACCATTTTTTAAGACAATAATTGATTGCATTAAATATTGCGCTTTAAGAAGTTTAAATAAATCATATCCTATTTACTTCAAAGTAGAAATACTAAAGGAATTATGTTCGATAAATATTTCAGACAATATGTATCGATTGTTTTTTCGGTATCTTGATCTATAAATTTGTGGTACATAAATTGTCTGTCGAAATTGTTTTCCATCTCTCCAAATAAAGTTCGCAGACAGTGGCATCGCTCATAAAGTTATAACAGCTGTAGTTTGTTTACGAATACCTTTTTGCCAATAATAAGAATTAATTTGTTTTTGGAAAAATATTTGTTCTAAAAATACACTAAAAGTGCAATATACCCTATTATAGATAACCGGGTGTAAATAATAAAATTTGATCAATGGAGAACAAAGGGGAATATTTTGCAGAGGCATCAGAGCCTCAAACCATACAAGATTATAATGCATTACTTGATTCGCCTATACGTGGTCCCACATTGTCCACAAGTACTTCAAGTTTCGAAGCTCTGGATCCTCATGATCCTAATTTGAGCAAATTAGCAACAAAAATGTTTCGCAAGACGGAGGACTACATAAGTAATGAACTAAACGCTCCACTTGAAGACTACAAGCTTTTGGAGGAAATGAATAAAGCTACTGTGGCTAAGTATTCAGATATGCAGCAAATTGCTGAAAACCTGAGCGTATCAACAAATGAACTAAGCATAAAATTCCAACAATTGGTATTATAGTTTTTATTGCTTCATTGCTAAACGCGTTACAAAATCGTTTATTATTATAGGTTCCATTAATGAAGCAAATCGACGAAATATCGGACACCGTCGACAAGTTGGAAGCTGCTGCTTATAAATTGGATGCCTACAGCATAGCACTTGAAAACAGAGTAAAGTCAGTACTTCAACGAAGAGTTACTATGAATTGAAATATCAATAGTATTATTATTTAGATTAATTAAACTACATACAAAATAAAAGTCGCTTTATTATCCAAGTATCAGCTTTATTAATATCGCAAGCACATTAAGGAATATAAGTGGTACTAAAAAGAAAATATAAATTGGTACATGTAATAATTTATGTTATCTTCACACTTACTCTTTGCAACAGTTCGAATGGACCTAACCAGATTTAAGATTTGAGCTTTCGCTGTGGGCTGTCCAAATTCCTGCATATTAGAGGCCTGTGCACCCCAACCAACTACAGAAGTACTTTATTAATATTAGCATGCTTATTTACCTTGTGTTTTACTCACACTTGGCCAAAAAGCGTTCTTCGTGTAATACACATACTGCATTTAGGCATAGTAAAGATGCCTCCACAAGTGTCCATAAGGTAAACATTTTGATAATCAAATATTTTTAGAAAACGATGACGACGATCTACAACAATCTACAATATTCCAGCTCTCAAATTGTTCCAAAATAAGTGCTACCTGATCTTTCAATTATCTTGTCATTCAGTCAAAAAATTGTCTCCATTTACGTCTGACATATCATAATTGAGTGGCAGCCCCGTTGTGTGGACCATAATTTATTATACAGAAAGTACTCATCAAATAGCGGAATCGTTTTCTCTGGTTACATTCCTTGTAAGCAATTTGTAAATATTGAATGTGAGAGCGGGAAAAGCATACAGCAGGTTTTCAAGTGATAAAAACTTGTGTGGCACACAAATTCGTAAACAAATGAAGCCGTTATGGGAATATTCTGGCAACGCTGTAAAGCGAAAAAATTATTACGTACACATACATAATTGCGATTGTTCATTATTTTATGCGGTAGAGAAAAATTTGGTTAAAAATAAACATTTAATCAATAGTGTTTATAATAATATTAATAATATAATAAATCGCGGGATATTTAATAGTTATTACTGAAAATACTGCGGTTTGCCGTTTTGTGCGTTTAAATATAAGAAAGATTAGTGCAATCAGTGCGTATATGTATACTACATATAAAAATTGCGCTGGTAGATTGGTGTAATTGTACTTGAGCGAGTTAGAAGCGCTCCATCTCGCTCTAGCTTAGGTTCCTGAAAATAAAATTTATCGCGTTATGTTTTGATCGCTCGAATCGTTTAGAATATAATACCTGTAATGTTTTAATTTTCAGACAGAAGCAATTAACTTAAAATTGTATGAAAAATTAAACACATTTCATTGTATTGAAAATCAGTTAAATTGTTCTGCATGTAAAAAGCAGTTTGAAATGTATCAACACATTCAATTACGAAGATCATCAAATTGGTCTTCTAAAGCCATTTCCCAAAAAGTGAACGCATCAAATGTGTTTAAAGAAAAAGAAGTTATTGAAATCTACGATGACGATGATGTGCTGGTTTTAAAGGAGCTGTCTAATAAAATGGATGAACTTGAAGAAGTAATATTGGTTGAGGATGATGACGCTTTAAGTTTACCACAATTAAGTAATGAGAGTTGGGACGATTTCGTGGATGAATTAACAAAAAAATACGAATATGACGCGCTTCAAACAACTTCCGTACCTCAGACCACTACAGCAAAGAGAAAATTCCATATTTCTGCTCGTAATCTATCACGAGCACAACGAGGTTATGCCGCAACTAGAGATGATAGTGTGATCAGTATCAGTAGCGACGAAGATGAACAATCTAGTACAGTTCTACCTTCAGGTAAGACTAAATTGCACTATTTAAAATACCTCCTTTATATATTTAATAAAATTTGTTATTTTCAGAGCAAACACATTCTTCGCGTAAGGATTTCTCTTCAATGACACAAGTACCATCGGCTACTAATAGCTGCACCTCTCCATCGCAGTGCGAGTTGTTAACATCAGTGGTGAACGAAGGTATTAAGAGTTTAGAAGAAGAAAATAAATTGGACAGTGGTCAGCCAATTGAGCATATCGCAACAGCAGCTATCGAAAGAGTAAATAATGAAACAACTCAAAGTACTGAGCCCAATTTAACGCTGCTTGCGGCGGACACGCAAAACCCAATAGAGCACAATGTCATGACTGAAACAAATAGCAGTACTACCTGCACAGATAATATAACATTATCAGAGTCTTTGCGGAGCAAGGCCCCTAGTCTGAGCAAGCATAAAGGGTTGTCTGGTAATTATTTACTTTCAGCTCGACGATTGCGTGATTTTGCAATTAATGTGTATGTGTTTTAAAATTTTTAAGGAATTAACAAAAAGTACCATGACATTAAACGTAGAACGTATAAATTGACATTTCATCAAATTTTACAAATCTTCGACATTGAAGGGGCGGCCCTATCAGCTATAGGTGCAGTACCTGGTGAACCTATAGATTTGGACTTTCCAGATTTTGATATGAGAGAGTTTGTTAAAATAGTCAAAAATTACCAAGAGACAGAGTCCGTAGATGATGTGAGACACTTATGGACGCAGATTAAAAGTTGGTTAAGCGCCATGAAACCAGCATATGGTACCACTACAAATTACGTAAGTTCAATATCAAAAATTGTTAGAACTATAAAAACACATGTGTTGATTGTTTTTCCTTTTAGACGAAATATCACAAAAAGCTAAATTGGTACTTATCTGAGTTAATGGCACAATATATTAAATTCGAAATAGAGCACAGCATACAAAACGAAAACTACTATAAATTGAAAATGGAGGCGTTGATGCATACCGTATCCTCCTTGCTGAATGATGATGTTAATTTGAAAATTTTAACTTTGCTGCGCACAAATTTCCCCGACAGGCCCAGCAACTTTCTAGATGATCTCTTCAAGTAATTCACAGTAGTAGAAATTTTTTACATTTTGGTTTGCTAAAGTAAATACATTACAGGAAATTCTTAACCCACCCGAAAGTGCGTTTGGAAAATAATGACTACGGTATTTATCGGTTGAAAGTCTTAGCTTTTCAAAAATGGATGCACTATTCAAATAGAAAAAAAGAAGATATAGTGGATATTGCGATTAAAGAGGGTTCTGCTTATCTACCAAGGCTGGTACCAAAAAATACAGAAGATCCATTCTATAGAGTTGATTACAATGTTCAGCTAATTGATGATTACGATAAGCAAGGCACAAGGTGAATATTATTTTTTAATGTGACAATAGCGTTCAAAAAATTAATATTTAAATTTTAGAAAAATATTGGCGGAGAACGTTAGCATTGATGTACTAAAAAATACAATTAATAATTATCTGCTGGTGTACGAAAGGCAACTATTTGATGATATCGTTTATAGATTATCGCGTCGTCAATGTTTGGAGCACGTAAGTAGTCCGAAATAAGTTCGATTTAATTGCAAGTTAGAGCAGCAGCATCTTCGTGATGAGCAAAAGTTGCAAAAATAATATTGTGTTGAGCAATAATTTACATTCTATTCCAGTTGCTAACTCGATACCAATTATCATACACGAATTAATTAAGCATAAAGTATTTCAAAAAATCTTAAATTTTTTTCCTTAGTTGAACGTCGTTTCGTATTGAAACAATGTAAAAATTGGTAAATTTTTTTTTTTTTTGTTTACATATTTTGCTTTACCTCAAATGTCTAAGTAGCCATTTATATATTCATGAAGAGTTTTTGTAATACAAAAAGTAAATATTATTTTTATGGAAACGGTTATCATATTCAATGATATATGGTTGTAACGCTTTAAGTTTACGCGTGTGAAAAAATATTTTTTACTATCCATCGTAAATTGAATTGAAAAATTACTTCAACGTTTTCAAATCCCTTGACGTCGTGAGCCGCCAACCGCCGAAGTTCTCTATAGCAAATGTTTGAATATAAAAAAGTTGGGTTAAAAAAACAATTAAAAAATAATTTTTATAATTTCAAATTTCGACATTCTT